CCCCCCCCCCCCCCCCCCCGCCTGCGATGAACCACTCTGGTGACCCTACTCGAGACGGCCTGGCTTACCTCGGGGCGAGACGAAGAGACACCCACAGCACGTGCCTGTCTCAACTGCAACAACTGCCATACGGACTTTCTTAATGGCCTAGCGATCTAGTGGCTTCGAAACGCGAGACTCGGTGCGCGCGGGTTTGCTCAGACCGGGGCATGGGTGTCGCGTGCCCATTGCTCGCTTCCAATTCCGCGTCCACCTGCTGCTGCTTCCCACCACGACGCCGTGGCCTGTCTTTGTTCCCCTACACTTGTTCGAAAACCCGCTCGACCTTCGTGCGTTCTACGGTGCCGCGCGGATTGATGGATGCGTCTTTGCAGGATGTGCGAGCGACTGTTCGACTTGGCTAAGGTTGGGTCGGTGGGCATCACCACCGGCCAGGCGTTTTGCGGCGTTGTTGGCTCCAAGACCCGGAAGGAATACACGGTACTGGTAAGAACCGTGACACGGCGTTTGGCGTGGGATGATTCCTGGTTGCGGGGCCCCGTGTTTATTCCGACGAAACACAGATCGTGCGGACTGGTGCGACTAACTTGGCGGTTGGGGGTTGCCTGTTGTTTTTGTTCTGATACGTGGAAGACGGGCAGAGCAGGGTCCAGGACGAGTTACCACGTAGAGCGGTTGTGCAGGCATCTGACCCACACACCAAGCTTTGACATTCATTGAGACCTTGTTTGTATGCAATTGTCCGGTGTTAAGCATCCTGGCCGTTTTGTTCCGCCTCCGTAGCGGCGTGATCACGTGGTTCTACAAGATCGCAATGGTAGTTTTTTGGTGCCAGGTTCGACGAGGCTGGTGCTCAGCAGCAGGAATGCGAGGGGTGTGCTCAGCGTCTTCTTTCTCTTCTCCCTCTCTCTAACTGCTTCTTCCTCCTCCTCTTCCTCCTCCTCTTCCTCCTCCTCCTCCTCTTCCCCCTTCTACCGCTGTTTTTTGTGCAGGGGGACAGCGTGAATCTTGCCGCGAGACTGATGCAAAGAGCTGTGTCCGAGGATGGAGGCGTGATGTGCGAGCTGGCCACGAAGCGGGCGTGCGGCGGGCTGTTGCAGTTCAAGGGGCGGGGCGACTTCCGCATCAAGGTGACCGGGGAGTGTTTCAGATCATTGTCGTGTGTGTGTGCGTGCCTGCTTGCGTTGTTGTTATTGTTGTTGTTTTTGTTATTGTTGTTGTTACTGTTGTTACTGTGTTTGGTTGCTGTTGCGATTGGTGATCGAGACACGTGTTTTTTTTTGTACCAAACGATTGGGTGATCGAGACATGTGCTTTTTTATCTTGAAGGGAGGTAGCGAACGACAGCGACCAGACACTCTCTTCTGCCGGAGATGCAGTTTATTGTTGAACGTTGCACGACGAACTCGGAGTCCGTTGTCGAGTTCTTGAGCTGCGACTCCGTGATTTTTGGTGCCCCCAAGCATCATCCGCCCACAGCAGTGCTGCGCGTACGCGTAGCGCGGACCCCCCGTGCACGATAAAAAACCCGGAGGTGCGTGGGTGGGTATAGCACGAACAGTCGGTCTCATTCACGGGGCCTCTCGCTCGGAGCTGTCTCGTAATTTTTTTCGCCTATTGGTCACTAGTGCTACGTCAGTGGTCAGCCGACTTACGGTGGTGTTAGCCGTGGTGGACTCATAATAAATTTTGGACGGTGTTGCTGCTACCCCCCCCCCCCCCCCCCCCCCCCCCCCCCCCCCCCCCCCCCCCCCCCCCCCCCCC